TATTACCCTTATGTGGTTTAGGTGGGGGATGGTGAACCCCAGGGCAGAGGCAAAAGGGATAAGAGGGAAAGGAACAAACACAAAACTAAGGCCCAAAGAGGTGAACTGACTTGCTCAAGGTCACACGGATGATACATAACAAAGCTGAACTTGAATGTGGGTCTTCTAACGCCTACTTGCTTCTCAGTTCACTGCGTCTGGGTTGTTTTTCCAGTTTCTGAAAGGTTTTATTAAGGAGCCAGTTCTCACTCATACTTCCACCCACACAAAAAAGGATTTAAAGCAGGAGAAGCCTTAGTTGGATGTGAGCAATAACTTCCTGGCAGCCAGAGCAACAGAACGCTGGGTTTAGACTCTCCAGCCTGGAGAAGTTCAAGAGGAGGCCCCCGGTAGTTGAGCCTTGTGGTCACAGCTTGACACCCACTGGGCTGCATCTGGCTTACAGATGTGTTTGGTTTGGCCAACCTTTAAAATTTGGGGAGGTTTTACTAAAATTTCAATAGACCTGGCAATGCTGGGCAAAGGCAACTCTCGGCTGGAGCTGATGAGATGCGGTGTGTGCCCCAGGCCCCACCACTCCCTATTGTTTCCCTGACACTGAGGCCGACTGTCAGGGGCCACTTACCAAGGGGCTAGAGGGGTTATTTTCTCACACTTGGACCAACTCCGTCTTCCATGTCAACTCTCAGGCCCCTGTAGGCATTTGTATTTGTGGCTGCTGGTTTGGACCCTCCCTGGACCTGAGTAGGGAGATGGATGAGACAGACCTTTGTAAACTTTCTCACCAACTGTGGGTTAACTGATCCCATTTGGGAACCATCCCAGTTCCAAACCTTCCTGAACCTGATTGTACCTTGAATTCTAGAAAGGCCCCACTTGGAAGGGCCCTTAGAGATAGATAAGCCCAATGGTCCCATTTTACAGATGGGGAAACTGAGGCTAAGATAACTCAGTGAGTCAAGGGTGGAATCTCACCTTTCCTAGGCGTTTCTGCCACGGAGGAGAGCAGGGGTTGAAGGTAGTAGCCCTAGGACACTGCCTACCTCAGCTTTTCTCAGTTCTCTCTCTTCCCAAGCTAGGAGGTGTCGATGCTAAGTGATGCTAAAATCTTTGCCTGTTGGAGTAAATGGATAAATCTGGACCTTTAAGAAGAGTTCAGCCCACCTCTCAGAAGGCCCAACTAACAACATCTGGTGAGACCATTTAAAAAGGGAACCAGACTTAAACACACACACACACAATCACACTTTTATATCCCCACCCCCAATTATAAGAGCTCTACAGTCTGGTCACAGAACGTTTGGAAAATCCAGCAACTATGAGGAAAATTAAAACTGTGACCTACGAGGCCCCCGTCCCTCACAGCCCTCAGGGGTAACTGCAGTTAACACTTTATTTCATGGCCTGTCGGCTTACACACACTTTTACACAGTGGAGATCACACTGCATGGGAATTTTTTTTTCAATTCCAATGGTCAGAAGAGTAGTTACTGCTGGACTGGGGGCTTGGCCTGGGAGGGGGCTTCTTTCTGGGGTGGTGGAAATCTTGTCTGTCCATCCGGGTAGTGGTTCCAACGGTACATACAGAGGTAAAAATGCCTCAACCTATGCACTTCATACTTGTTTATTTTACTTGGTAAGACTTAAGATGGCAATAATAATAGAGGCTCATTGCAAAGACATTGATCAGAAATTTACAAACACCTGTACTCCGACTCCTCCCCTGCCCAGACAGGACTGCTGGGAACAGACACTCTTCTGTGCCCTTTGGCACCATACAAGGTTCCTTGGGTCAGTCCAGAAGGTCTGTGAGCATCATATAGGTGCCAGCCCCCTTGGTGGGCTCCATCTCTGGCCCTGAGTCGCAGGGGAGGGGGCTGAAGGGCTTCAGACTGGCTCTGGCCTGTGACACCCACTTCTTTCTCAGCTTCACACCATCTCCTGCCTCAGCTCCTGTCGAGGAACAGTCAAAGGCCCGGCTGGGCTGCGCTCATGGGGGAGGAATGGAAACATGTCGATTAAGTTTCACGGAAATCATGTAGAGGGGCCCACGTCTGGCCGATGGTGTTTGGGTTCCTGTGGTCCCGGGCTGGGCTGCCCGTTTGATTTTGAGTGGAGAGTAGCCAGCTTTCCTCCCTGCAGCCGCCTGGGCCTCGTCACCGTGTGCTTCCCCCAATACTTGGACCGCTTATGAGCCCCTGGGGCTCAGGCCTGTAGCAGGTAATGCTCTGGCCAAGAGCTCGGAGTCCCGTTGACTTGGAACGTTCTTCCTTTTTACTGGCTGCCCCTTATATGGTTACAGTGTGCGGCCAGCTGAGCCGGTGTGTGAAAGCCAAGGCGTTCCAGGCTGCAAGCCTTGGTCTGTGAGAGGCAAACATCATTATTGGGCCCCACTTGAAACAGTGCAGGATAGACAGCTGGGAAGGCCGCCTCCAAGGCTGGTGGCTGGTGGTGGCCCCAAGGCAGACACCCAGGGACAGAGGCAGAGGGTAGATTTGACCTGTCCAGACCTGCGTTGGATCCTGGCTCTGTCTTTCTCCCCTTCTCTGTGATCTTGGACCAGATAAAGAGTCTTAGTTTCTTTATCTGTAGAATGGGATGTTCCTACTTTGCCCCTAGGATGGTTGTGTGGCCAAGACAGAGAATGTGAGTAGAGGGCCTGGTGAATAGCAGGCACCCCGAAACTGTCATTATTATGGGGGTCACCCTTGTGTCTGGGCTTACCAATGACGGTGCCAGGACCCTCTTTCCTTCAGAATGGGGGCTGTAGACATTCCTTCATTCCTTCATTCATATATTCATCCTATAGATAGCGATGCAGGGCCTACTCGTGCTCAGCTCTGTGTGGCTGCTGGGGATACAGCAGTGACACCAACATTTGTCTAAATGCCCTGGGCCAGCGTCTCCGATTTTACAGCCGCCTGGCATTAGAATCTTTCTGGGATGGAGACAGGCTCTCTTCCTCTCCCTCCAAGTCTTTATTTTATTTCCCTGTCTCCAGGGGCCTCATTTATAAAAAGTGATTTTTCTGTTCTAAATAAGCTCCCTTTATGTCGGATTCTTGTTTATTCTCATCTTCCTTTACATCCTTCAGCGATAGATAGACTCAGAACTTGCAGCCAGTCTGGGGCAACCAGAATGGCTTTCATCAGGCTTTTTTAAGAGTCGAAAATCACAACCCTTGGATCCTAGCACCACACCTGGTTGGGACCCTCTGGCCTTGTCCCACTTGCCTATTTTACAGATGGAAAAGGTGTGGTTCAGAGAGGGACACTTTATTTATCCCTCCACATCACTGAGCACCTATATCGTGCCAGGCACTGAAAACCCTAGAAGAATAGGAGTCCCTGCCGGCTGTGTTAGTTTCCATTGCTGCTGAAATTAATGACCACAAATGTAGTAGCTTACAGCAGCGTGAATGTGTCATCTTGCAGCTCTATAGACCAGCTGTCCAACGTGGGCCTCGCTGGGCTCAAATCAAGGTGCCGATGGGCTGCCTTCTTTTCTGGAGGCTCTCAGTGAGAACCTGTTTGCCTTTCCCAGCTTCCAGGAGTCGCCACATTCCTTGGCTCCATTTTCAAAGCCAGCAGCATTGCCTCTCTCTGATGCTTCTTCCACAGTCACCTTTCCTTCTGACTCTCACCCCTTCTGCATTCTCTTCTCCTTTTGAGGACACTTGTGATTGGATTGGACTCACTTGGATAATCCAGAATCATCTCCCTACTTTAAGGCCAGCTGACTAGCCACTTTTATTCCATCTGCAACCTTAATTCCTCTTTGCCATGTAAGGTTCCAGAGATTAGGATGTGGGCATTGGGCGGGGGGGAGCATTATTCTGCTTACCACTCCTGTCCTCAGGGAGCCCGGGGTCCACCGAGGGAGACAAAAATCAGCGTGAGATTTGCCATGGGAGCCCAGAAATGAGGAAACCTGACCCAGCTAGGGTGGGAGTGGGAGATCAGAGAAAGTCTCCTAGAAGAGACGAGGGGTGACCTGATCTAGCAGAATGAGGAGTTAGCCTGGTGGGAATGGAAGTAGAAGGCGTCCCTGGAGGAAGGAACAGCATGTGCAAAGTCCTGGAGGCAAGGGAGGGAACGTGTGTGTCATAGTGGCAGAAGCCTAGGGAGAGCAGTGAGGCTGGAGGTGTGGCCAGGTGCTTTCTGAAGGCAGTGTGGAACCTCTGAGCAGGAGACTGACAAGGCCAGATTTGCATTTGAGAAAGATCACCCTGGGGTCCTGGTGGAGAAATGCTGGAGAGGAGGGAGACTAGAGAAGGGAAAACAGTGAGGAGGTGATTCGGTGGAAGAGGTGATGGGGGCCTGGATCTGGGCGGGGCAGGCGAACGGAGCAGAGAGAGTGGGCTGGTGAGCTGATGGAGGGGAGAAGACTGTATAGGATGTGGTGAGGGTTGTCTGTGGGCAGGGGAGGCAGGAGGAAGGGGCGGGATGATGAACAGATTTCTGGTTTAGGAGTCTGACTGGATGGGGAGGCAATCACTAAGGTAGGGATGTGGGGGGAAGGGTAGGCTTAGGAGGGTATTGAGTTAGATTTATGTATTGATGGTCTGTGCCCCGTAAACATCTAGAGGAGGCATCCTGGATGGATGAAGATGGAGCTCGCATCAATCGTATCAACTTGTATCAGTTAGTTACTGCTGTGTAATAAACCACCCCAACTGAGTGGTATAAAACAGCAATCACTCATGATCACTCATGTGTCTGCATGTGGACTGGGACTTGTCTCATCTAAGCTGGGCTTCGCTGGTAGCTCAGCTTCAAACTGCAGGTGTGTAGGTCTGCAGGTCAGCCAGGTGGCGATACTTGGGGATGCTGACCTCTCCTTTCCCTCTGGCCCTGACCTGGGTGCCTTCCCCTCTTCCTCTACTCCACCGTGGATCAGCAGATGACATTTGAGCAAAGATCTGCAGGAGGTGAGGGAGTGAGGATGTCTTAAGGAGGAGTATTCTAGGCAGAGGGAACAGCCAGTGCAAAGGCCCTGAGATGGGATTGTGCCTGGTATGTTTGAAGAAAAGGAAAGAAGGCCAATGTGGCTGAAGGGGGTGTGTGAGTGGGAGGGTGTAGCAGAGGAGTTCAGAGTTAGTTATCTGAGGTCAGGAAGGTCAGAGGAAGTGGCCCCTACCCTTATTATTATCGCTACTGTCACTTTTCATCCTCTCCTCCTGCCCCCCACAGGACCCCCCCTCCTTGGATGCCGCCATCCAGCACGCCCTGGCGGGCCTCTATCCCCCTTTTGAGGCCACAGCACCCACCATCCTGGGTCAGGTGTTCCGTCTCCTGGATTCTGACTTCCGGGGCGATGGACTGAACTTCCTCCTGGATTTCCTGATCCCTGCCAAGCGCCTGTGTGAACAAGTGCGTGAAGCAGCCTGTGTAAGTCAGAGGGATGTGGGACCAGGGGACAAGCTCTCCCAGAAGGCCAGGGGCTGGAGGGGAGCAGAGAAGGAGGTGGGCTGGCGAGTGTGTTGTTGAAGGGCATGAACTGGGGACGTGGGATGGCTTTCAGGTGTCATTGCTTTCTCCAAAAAACACTTCAGCCCCGCAAATGGACAGGAAGGTCACTTGGCCCTTTACGCTCTGACATCTAGGAGTCAATCACGTTTGCGCTTTGACTAACAGGGAGGGAGGCCAGCCTTGTGGTTCTCTGGCCCCCAGGAGCTGGCACTGTGGGCATCACCTGGCTGTATTGGCTGAAGTGCTGCAGCTCCAATGGAAATAGTAGAGAATGTCCTAGACCTTCCCTGGAGCCCTTGTGGCATCAGGACTCTCACTTTCTTCCCTGGAGACTCCTTCAACCCAGATCTCAGGGAGGCCTCTCCTGACGCAAAGGGAAAAGAAAAGTGTTTTAGGCAGGACTCACTCGCTGCAAATGACAGATCCTTACTCAGACCAGGACAGGGTGATTCGGACCAAGGCCCGAGATGTTCCGCTGATCAAACTCCTCCAGGACTCTTTCTGTCTCTTGTCTCTGCTTCTACTGCTTGCCGGAATCATTCTTACAGGCTAGGTGTTTCTCAAGGCTGGAGCCCAGGGCAGCACTATGATCAAAATCCTACTCTGGAGAGGAAAATGAACTCCTCCCCATCGGCTGCAGATAGAAAATCACAAGGAAGGATCCTGATTGGCCAGGCTCGGCTCCTGTGTCCCTGCTTGGACCAATCACTGTGGCAAGAGGAATGGGGTACCAGGATTGGCCAGGCTTGGATCCTGTGTCCATGCTTGGACCAATTATTGCAGCCAGAGGAATGGGATACCAGGATTGGCCATGCTTGAGTCATACGCCTACCTCTAAGCTCAGAGGGTGGAGACTGTTTTAAGAAAGGGTGGGGAGAGGCCTTTGGAGACCAAAGCCTCAGATGCCCACTGCTAGAACTTACCCACACTCTTCACAGAGTTGCTGACTCTGCCCTACTCTTCTGTTATTCAGTGCCCACCCCTACTGCCCCAGCGTCAAGAATCGCTAACAGCATCTTAGGTCCTACTAGCCTTTCCTGAGTTGCTCATGCCTGTCAGGGACCTGGCACATCGGGAGGACAGATAAGCAGAGGGACCGTGTGCGTCATTTCAGTGGTGGAAAGAAATTGAATGTAGCAGCTAAAAGTTCAGGCTTAGGAGCCAGAATTAGAGATGGTTGGAACTGGAAGGAAATAGATCATTCATTTAAGCTACTTAGCACAGTGCCTGACACACAGAAATAGCTCCATACACATTTGCTGTTCTTTTAGGAGAAGGAAGAGTCTCACTGAAACATTGCAGCCAATTGCCACATATCCATGTTGACATCATTTAAGCTATATCCTCCCCATCCTTATTTCTTCTCCCTGACAAGCTGTACAACTGCCTGCTTCCTTTATTTGGCCATTAAAACTGCATTTGCACTGTCTCTTTCCCCATTTCTTCTAGGGACAAGGGTCACAACATTTAGATTTCTTTATTTCCAATTATCTTTAACTTTAATCGTAATTATAGGTGAATTTGTGTCGTCTCAGAGCAGGGGGTAGTAGCGTGGGATTCATGTATGCCCTCAGGAGTCAGATGCCCCAAGTTCAAATCCAGTCTCCATCACTATGGAGTTGGGGGATCTATGTCACCTCTCTGAGCTTCAGTTTTCTTGTGTAGGAAGTGGGAATGTTAATAACACAGGATGTATGTACCTCACCGAGATGATACACACAGCTTAGCCCAGAGCCTGGCATGAAGTAATTGCTCAGTAGCTGCTGGCTGTTACTTTCCTACTGTCTCCTTTCTCCCTCTGAAATAAGAATGGGCCAGCCTCAAAGTCTGCCTTTATAACCAGCAGCACCCAGACAGACAGCCACCATCAATGAGGTCTGGAGGGACTAAGGACAGATACAGCCGACTCCAAATGTGAAAGTCTAGGCACAAGTCCTGCTTTCGCTACTTTTCAGCTGTGTGACCATGAGGCAATTCTTTAGCCTCGGTTTCCTCATCTGTAAAGTTGAGGAACTTTCCTGAACTGCCTGCACCACTGAGTTACTGAGAGTCAAATAAGATGATCGTAACAGTCATTTCTATGGTGCTTTGCTATTTGCAAAATACCTCTGGACTGTTTCGTCTCGTTCACTGAGAAGGTGACGGAAAGGATGTTGTAAACAGCAGAAGGCTATGTGGAAAGGCTGGAGTAACACAGACTCGTGGGGTTTATGGATATGAAGCTTCTTGGAGACAGCCGAATCTGCAGTGTAACTGAAATGAACTGGTTTATCAACATCGTAGGTACAAGTATGGTCAGATCACATTATTTCCCCAATTAATAATTCCAGGAAGCACCTGCTTAATTAACAGGAAGTTTAGTGTCACTCCCTGGAGGTCTCCTGTATACACATGCAAATTATATGAGATTATCCAGGGCTTATTCAATCTGTAGGAATCAGATCAGACTCTTCCAAAAGTCAGGTAGAGAAAGACCTGTTGTCAGTCTGGTGGAGCTGTCGTTTCTGTTGTTGCCACGTGGTGTCACTGTTGAACACTGGGTCTGCACAGCCCTGACAGCCCCCTGGAGAGGCCCCAGGATGACTTGCTGTGTCTACCTGTGTAGAGAATTGCTGGCACCCTCTGTTTAAATTTTTTTTATTGTTTAGCCTCACCTGCCGTGTTGTTAACTGCTAATGGGAAATAAATAAATAATAAAAGAACAGATAAATATTCTGGGTCTGACTTTCAGACCCAGAAGAGTGGAATGATTTTTCAGGGCCATCCAGCAAGTTCGTGGCAGGGTCAGATTTCCTAACTTCTCACTTAGTAGTGTTTCTACTTCACTCTGTAATCTCTCTACTTTACAAATTAGAGAATGGAATAAAGGCAGTAAGTAACGTTTTTTAAAGATTGAAAATCCTACAGTTTTTCAAAAGGTAAATATTGTCAAAGGGAGAGGGAAATAATATTTATTGAACGTCTACTTATTATATGTTATGCATTGTGTTGGTTTTTAAAAAAACATAAATGTATTTATAATCTAACTTGATCCTCATCCCAACCCAATAATACCACTATGTATCATTATTCCTATTTGCAAATAGGGAAATTGAGACTCAAAGAAGTTAAGTCATTTGCACAAATTAGTGATTCAGACCTTGGAAGCCACGTCTCCCTGGCCCTAAAGGGGAGGGTTTAGCTTGAGCTGGCTTGAGAGAAGTTTTGATAAATGGAGAGGAGAAGGGAGCCAGCAGGACGATCCTCGTGGGAAAGGTGCTTGCTAACTGGCGCCTGGCACTCAGAGCTTTTCTCCTTTGGCCCAGTAGGCTAGCAAGTATTTTCAAGGTCAGGGCCAGGACTAAGGTGAGGAAGAGGCGTAGGAGGCACAACATTGAAGGAGGCGCTGCCTCTTGGGGCTGTGTGACTTGCAGGATGCTGAGAGTGGAGCCTCCTTGGATGCTGTGTCCTAGGCACCTTTCTTGCCTCACCTGAGTCCCCGACCCGTTCAGGGTTCCTTCTGGGAGAGGGAAGGAAGCAAACCCGTGGGCGGGGTTTTCAGGGCCAGATTCTCTGATGCCAGCCCCTTCTCTTTGCAGACCCCCTACTCACACCACCTCTTCCTGCATGAAGGCTGGCCGCTGTGCCTGCGGGATGAGGTTGTGGTCCACCTGGCATCCCTCAATCCCCTCTTATTGCGCCAAGGTGACTTCTACCTTCAAGTTGAGCCCCGGGAGGAGCAGTCCGTCTGCATCATGATCAAGTGCCTCTCTGTGGACCTCCACACAGTGGACACGAAGCCTGTTCCTGAGTCATCCTACCCTATACTTTTCACCCAAGCCTGGCTGGAGGCCATCAACAGTGACCTTGAGGGCAGTCCCTTACACAACTGCCTGGTAGCTTCAGAAGATGGGATTGCCTCTGTGCCCTGGACCAAAATAACCAGCCCAGAGTTTGTGGATGACAGACCCCAAGCAGTAAATGTCCTCTCCCCAGCCTGGAGATCCCTTCAATTAGAAGCACTGGATTTGAACAGCCCCCAAGAGCTGCACCAGGCTAGGTCCCCAGGCAGCCCAGTGCTGCTTGCCCAGAGTTTGGCCAAGGGCAAGGGCAGGACACATGGGGACAAGTATCCAGGACTCATCAAAGTGGAGCAAGCCGGGCCTGGGGAGGTGGGCTTCGGGGTGGACGAAGTGGCCAGCCAGGACTTGGAGGGAGATTATGTGGCTCTCCTGGACTTTTCCCAAGAGAACCGACGAGGGTCTCCCAGTAAGGAGGTGGAGACATCCAGTGGGTTTCCTTTTGGCGCACAGGAGGAGCTATCTGGAACTAAGGAAATCCCTTTCTCTCAAAGGATACTGCCTCTCTCAGGGACCAATGGGGGGCCTTCCTTGGAAAAATGGACTTGTGAGAAGCCAGCAAGTTCGGGGGAAAAACCCTGTGTTTGCGACTTGAGGAGAAAGGTTAATCATAAAGTTCCCACCCAAGACTCAGAACACCAGCCCCAAGAGCCCTACCTCAGCGTCCTTGTAAACCCACTGCATTGTGCCTCTGGTCTTGGGCCAGGTGTCTCAGAAGAGCCAGCTCCCTCCAAGACACAGGGACTTCTGGGAGACTCCGAGAATATAGTCCAGTTCAATCCGGGACCAAAACAAGCATCCTCGGCCCGGCTGCGCCCAGCTTCCCCTCCTGCTTCTCCAGCCCCTGCAACCAAGATGGAAGAGAGGACCCAACAGGAAAATGGGAGACTTCCCAAGCCTGTGGCCAGGCCCTGTCAAAACACTTCCCCCACTCCTGGGCTCAAATTCTCTTTCTTAAAGTGGCAGAGGCAAGGCCCTGTGACTCAGGAGAAAGCCTCGTTCCAGCATGACGGGCCCTGGAAAGTCTTGTGTTCACTCTACTCTCCCAAACCCAACCGAGACAAGTGCTTGGGGAAAGGTAAGTTGCCCACTCACTCAGCTGGACAGGGGAACTGTTCTCTGCATGTGATCAGGTGACAAGGTGACACAGGCTGTCAGGGGCAGAGACCCACCTGGGCTGGCTCAGTCTCAGGTATTTAGAGCATGGGGTGGCATGTCAAAAGGCTTGAGGTCTCATGGGCTTGGAATTGAGCAAGGTTCTGTGATTATGTTGAGATGGCCTGAGTCTACACCCCAGCTTGGCCACGCACTGGCTGGGTGAACTTGATCGAGGACGTAACCTCTCTAAGTCCAGGTGTCCCTGTCTATACAATGGGGATCTGTCTGCCTCCTCAAGTTGTTTTGAGGGTCAAAGACACACCAGAATTAAGGAGCTTAGCACAATGCCTGCCCCATAGAAGGAGATCAATATTGTAAGCTGTTACTATTAGAAAGTGAAAAAGAAAACATTTTCCCTGGGAAAATCCATCTTCTGCTTAACACTCTTTGATGTTTTTTTTCCCCAGCTGGAACAACTCAGACCAAAACATCTGGCCCAGACGCTGACTCAGACCCACTGACCGAGGAAAAGGCTGGCTTCCCAGAAGCTTCTGATAGCCCTCCAGAAAAAGGCCCCGCTCTGAATGAGGAGCCCCCAGGGCCCGAGCCCAGGTTTGGGGCTCTGAGCATGGAGATCTTCCATTCCAGGATAGCATGCCTGCCAGGTCCTCAGGGATTATAGGGGCAAGTGGAGGTGGAGGGGAGAGAGCTGTGGGGATGGGGAATGGGGCTGGGGTCCCTGAGTACCCTCAGATGCGGGTGGGTATAGGGGAGGCAGGGAAGGTCCTAGAGGCCTGTGTGCTGGATCAAGCCTCCCTGGGACTCAGATTCCATAAGTTTCCAATGAAGGAGGTTAAAGCAGTTTCTAGCAATCCATCCATCCATCCATCCTTCCATCTTACTTTCAGCGAGGCCATCAAGGTGGATGGCCATCTTAGGTCAGGTTCCCTAGAAGCAGAGCCTAAGACAGGGATCCGTGAAAAAGTGATTTATTTTACTGAGGGTTGCTCTCAGGGGAAGGGGAGTAAGGGAAGCAGGGCAGGGCAAGGGAGGAGCTAAGCCTGCATGTGGCCTGATTCCCCGGGGCGGGGGATGGGGGGTGGGGGGGCGGTTCCTGGAGCATGAATTCCATCACAGAGATGGTTCCATCTTAAGGTTCAGGGGCTGACTTTTGTACCCCTGGATCTGTCAGTCATCAACTGCAGCCTGATCCTGGGATGGGGATGCAGGTGAGCCCATGATCCAGTTCAACTGAGGGCAATTCTTCAGACAAGGGGGCATCTCTAAGCCAATTTACAGCCAATAATTACAGTCTCTGGGGGATGGGTGCTCTGGCCTGAGGAAGGGGTCCGGTTGGGCATTAACATCATCCAATACTGAGAGCATTATCACTCCTGTTTAACATTTATTCATCTTTGCAATTAATATTTATTGAGCACCACTGTGTGCCACGTCCTGGGCTTAGCACTGAGGATTCAGCAGGGAACCAAGCCTGCCCTCAGGAAGCCTATATTCTAGTGGTGGAGAAAATTCAACAGGTTATTACAATACAGTGTAAAGAAATTGTGACTGTGGGGCAGTACAGGGGGCTGTGGGAGGACAGATGAGGCCCCTGGCCCAGGCTTGGGGTGGAGGAAGTAATGTGAAGCTCAGTCCTGTAGTATGAGTAGGTGTTATCCGTGTAAAGTGGTGGGAATGGTGTTCCAAGCTGAGGGAACAGCATGTGCAAAGTTCAGGCAGCAAGAGAAACCACTGTGCTTTCTGGGAACTGACTGTTCTGCAATTCTCTTTTACTTCATAGACTTCTAAATCTCTGCAGGACACGTCTGTGGGGACATTGCTCTGTCATTTCGAAGCTCCTGGGGAGCATCGTCTGTCATCTTCTTGGTCATCATTGTTGAAGCTCATGCTGTTTATTCCCATATTAATGTACACAGAATCTCACGATCCTTTTAGGGCTGTCATGCTACAGGAGCTCAGGTTTTATACATCAAAGTCCCTGTTCTTAGAGGCTGGAGACCTTCATTCTAGTTCCAGCTCTACCCCTAGCTCCCTGTGTGACCTTGGAAGAGTCACTTGCCCTCTCTGAGCCTCATGCTCCTCCTTGTGTAAGAGGAGAAGGAGAGGAAGCAGATTGGACTTGACTCGCTGTCACTCTTTCCACAATTACTCTCTTGTAAATTGTTTGGCTTGCAACATATACTGATGGGTCCCAAGTGCCCGAACAGTGCCTGGCACATTGTCGCTGCTCAAAAATATCGGAGTGAATGAACATTCTCCACATGGACGTTCTTTCCATTCCCTTCCTCGACCTCCTCTTCATCAGCGATCTTGTCCTCATTACCCCAGCTACTCCTCCATGGCCGTCCCCCATAACTCACTGCTCCCTCCCTCATTACAATGTCTCTCTTCCCAGATCACACATTACCTCAATTTTAATAGCCCTTTTGTCCCCCAGAACTCTCAACCCATTGATCCAACCACCTTTTCACTGTCCCTCCCCACCCTCCATCATGTCCCCACTTCCTTTTAAACACTCTCATCTCCCTTGCCTTTCTCTTCTGCCTTCGTACTTTCCTGGAGAAATCCCAACCTCAGTTAAATCCAACTCTCTGCCTGCTTTCCCGCCTTGCACCTTTACAGCTGAACGAAGCCAGAAAGTCCGCATAACCACACCGACTGGTTGCCCATTTGATTCCTGATCACTGGCCTCCAGTGGGTACCACTGGTGCCCATGGATCCTGTTACTCTTCCAGAGTCTTGAAAGGTGCCCCCACTGTCCTTCCTGAATGACGATTTCACACCTGCTCCCTCCTCTGACCTTCACCACCATCTCCCTCAGCCTTACTCTCAGCTGATGACCTTCCTTCTTGTTTCACTGAGCAAGTAGAAACAATCAAAAGGAAGTCCACAAACTCCTGCCACCCCATTTAGCTACCTACCTGCATCGGTACCCACCCCCTCAGCATCCTATTCCAGATACAGGGAACAATCCCTCCAGTGGTGCACTACACCTCCCCACCTACTCAAAGACATCCCTCTGGCAAGATTCTCCTCTCTTCTCTACATAATCACCTTTCCTCCTCTCCATTGGACCATTTCCATCAGCACAGGAGCATGCCCAGCTTGGAATGACCCATTCTAGGCCCCTATTATCATCTTTCTTTTACATCAAAACCCCACATAGGAGTTGTCTGTGCTCCGTGTCTCAGTACCTCCTCTCCTCTTAGTCTCTCTTCAACTCACTCTAATCAGAGTATTTGCTCCACCTTGACATTGGAGCAGGTCTTTTCAAGGTCACCAATGACTTCCATGTTTCTAGATCCAATCGTCAATTCTCAGTCCTCATCATCCTTGACCCATCAGCAGCATTTGACACAGATGACTGCTCCCTCCTTACTGAAAGGCCTTCTCAACTTGTCTTTCAATCTTTACTCTCACCTGGGTTTCTTCCTATTTCACCGGCCACGCCTTCTCAGCCTCCTTTGCTGCCTCCTCCTCATGTCTCAACCTGGAAACCTTGGAGGCTCCCCAAAGTTCAGTCCTTGGACCCCTTCTCCTCTCCCCCAGACTCACTTCCTTGGCGATCTCATCCCATCTCACTGGTGAATATTTGTTTTAAGTGTTGTCTCTACACTGATAACCCCCACATTTATTTTTCCAGCCTGGACTCTGCCCATGAACTCCATACTCATCTATCCATCCATGTACTTGATGTTTCTACTTAGATGTCTAACAGGCATCTCTAACTTAACATGACCAAAGATGGACTCCTGATTTCACACCCCCCTGTACCCTTCCCAGCCTTGTAATCTTTCCTAGAACACTAGATCCTGGAGGATTTTCTCTTATACCCTACATCCAATTTGTTAGCAAGTCCTGTCAACTCTTCCATCAAATTATATACAGAATTTGATGACTTCACACCACCCAGGGCCAAACCAGCATAGTTGCTTGCCTATTACAGTAGTATCCTCACTGGTCTCTTTGCTTCCATTGGAGTTTCCTTGTAGCGGAAACAGTCCCCAAAGTCTGTGTTCCAAGATCAAGATCTGCTCCAGGCCAGTCCGTGTGAAGCAGGCATCCCAGGCTCCCTATTAGGATCTTTCCCTCACCTCCTTGCCTCCTTTCTTCTCAGGTCTCTTCAGCTCCAAACTTTCCACAAAAATCTGTTCTCCGGAAAGAGACTAATCAGCACTAAGGTGTGAATGACTGCTCCCATTCTGAGGGTGGCAGTTACATATTCCTTTCCAATTGTGGTCATAGCAAATTACCAGAAACTCAGTGGCTTTAAAAAACATAAATGTAATATCTTACAGTTCTATAGGTTAGAAAGCCCAGATCTCGCTGGGCTGAGATCAAGGTGTCAGTGGACTGTGTTCTTTTCTGGATACTCTAGGGGAGAATCCATACCTTGTCTTTTCCAGCTTTTAGAAGCTGCCTACCTTCCTTGGCTTGTGGTCCCTTCCTTCACCTTCACATCCAGCAACAGCACATCCCTCTGACCCTTCATCTATCTTGATAACTTTCTCGGACTGGCTGAAGCCAGGAAAGGGCCTCTACTTTTAAGGATCATGTGATTCGATTGGGCCCACTTAGATAATCTAGGCCTAGATTATCTCCCCCATCTCAAGGTCCTACCTTAGTGACATCTGCGAAGTCCCTTTGCCAGGTAAGCTAGCACATCCACGGCTCTGGGGATTCTCTGGAGCCATGGACATCTCTGGAGAATGGACATCTCTGGAGCCATGAGTCTGCCAACCACAGGCACAGAGCCTCTGCAGAGGGCTTTTCACAAAAAGCCCCTGATGCAGAAGAGAGGGAACAGGGTCCCAGGGGTTGAGACCTCACCCTGAGCTTTCAGTTGCTCTGTACATGTCTTTAAAACTTCTATACATTATTATAATTCTTATAATTAAGAATTATATTTACACTTTCATATAAAAATGTATATTTCAATATTTTAAAATTGCTTGCCAGTTAAATTACTAGCATTCCCCCCACCCCAAGACTTGGAGGGAGTGCTTTAGAAGGTACAACAAGTTTTTCAGTGCCTTTGGGTAACACCACCCACCACCTCCCAACCTGCTGTCTCCATTTCTTCCTGAGATCATAACCCAATGTGAACAGCGCAGCTTCCAGCCAGGCTCTGAGATGCTAACGATGGTATTCCTGGCACCAGCTGTCAGACGGGGTAGCAGCTGGGGCAAGGGGGCCTTCCAGGTGTAAGCAGATCAGGTGGACAGCTGTCCATCACTGCAGTGCACTCAGACGGCATCTTGCGTGCTCAGCCGGCCCTGGCTGTGTGCAGAGCCCTGTGCCAGGCAGAGCTTGGCGGGGGGACCAGACACTTGAACTGGTCACTGTGTCCCAGTATGGAATGTCCTGAGTGCTTGAACCCTTTGCTACTCAAAGTGTGGTCTGGGGATTAGATACATCAGCATCACATGGAGCTAGAGAGAGATGAAGAATCTCAGGCTTGCTGGACCACAGTGTGCATTGTAGCAAGATCCCTAGCACACCAAAGTTTGAGAGGCCCCACTCTGACCATTTATTCATTGGTCAATTCCTGACACTGATTATTGGCTCCTGTCCTGTGCTGAGCACTGGGATAAAAAGAGTTTGAGCCAGTGAGCACCCTTAAGGAGCCCTCAGTCTTGCAGGATCTAAAACAGGCCTAGGTTTGCTGGGGGAACCTGGGGTGGGAGAAAGGTCTCTCTAGAGGGCAGGGAGGATGTCTTCCTGGAGGAGGTGGCATCTCAGCTGGACTTTGAAAGCTGAGGAGAGTTTCACCAGATGGAGAGGGGACAGGGAAGGGAACCTCTGGCAGAAGGAACAGTGTGAACAAAGGTGGGGAGGTGGGAAAGGGTCAGGCTAATTTACGCAGTGACAGATGACCCATTCCAGCTGAGCCATTGGTGACAAGGAGAGACATAGTGTATTAGTCTGCTAGAGCCGTCCTAACAAAGTGTCATAGACTGGGGGGCTTAAACAACAGGAATTTATTCTCTCACAGTTCTGGAGGCTAGAGGTCCAAGATCAAGGTGTTGGCAGGGCTGGTTTCTTCTGAGCCTCTCTCCTTGGCTTGTAGATGGCCATCTTCTCCCTGTGTCCTCACATGGTCTTCCCAATGTGTGTCTGTGTCCAAATTTCCTCTTCTTATAAGGACACCAGTCATATTAGATTAGGGCCCACCCTAATGGCCTCATTTTAACGTAATCACCTCTTTAAAGACCTTATCTCCAAATGCAGTCGCATTTTGAGGTATTACGGGGTTAAGATTTCGATATATGAATTTGGGGGGAGAGGACACAATTCAGGTCATAACCCAAAGTATATGAAATGAGGCTGGAAGAGTGTGCAGATCCTGGGGAGACTTAAGTGCCAGGTTGAGAAATTTGTGCTTTCTGCATGAGGCCATGAGGAGCCATGGAAGGTTCTAGAGCAGGGAAGTAGCACCACTGGAACTGTGATTGAGCTCCAGTACAGCAGACAAAAGCTCATCTCTCGGTGTGGTCCAGGGTCAAGGGCTGAATCAGGCATGACCCCCACCTTAACTGGCAAGTTGGGTACTGTGTTAGACGGGGAAGCTGCTTCCTCTCTCCAGGCCTCAGTCTCCTCATCAATAAAATGGGCCCAGGGACATAATGTAGCATTTCCTGACCTGAGGGACCCAATGGCTCTGAGAGGATTTCAGAGGGATATGTACAAACATCTCTAACTTTGCAAGTTATGTAATTTTTTTCATGGTTTAATTATTTCACTTTTTAAAAACTTTCTTCTATGAATAATTTCAAACATAGAAAAAGTAGCGACTATAGGATAATGAAAACCCACATACCCATTACTCAGATTTAATAAATCTTAACATTTTGGCATGTTTCATCTATTTTTTTTCCTGAAGTATTTTAAAGTAAATTACAGATCTTCATAGTTTACCTGTAAATATTTTAATGTGCATCTCTTAACTACAAGGACATTTTCCCTAATAACCACAGTGTCATTAAGCACACCTAAAAAAATTAAAAATAATTCCTAATACTACTCAATACCCAGCTCATATTCAAATTTCCCGTATTGTCCCCAACAAAATGTTTTTCTTTTGGAATTTAGTATAAATGAATATTAGGAAAAATCAAACCCATGATATCAAGAGGATATAAAAAAATATATATACATATATATGCACATATATGTACAAATATATATATTTGTGTGTATATACAAATGTATATATTAACGTGTATATTTTTGCATAAAATGTATATACAAATGTAGATTTTTTAATTTTTAAATTTAAAAATTTTCAAACATATGTGAGAGAAAGAATGCTCTAGATGGCTTCACCCCTGTGTAAGGCAGCACTTGTGAAGGTGGTTAAGATTGTCCAAGGCTTCATGAGCTACATAGGGTCTCACACACTTATACACTGTGGAGGGTTGTACCCGCATGCAGTAGATCCTGCTCATCGCAGGGTGGCCTTGAATGAGGTGACTCTGGGGGGCAGGGCTCCAAGCCCAGGGTACAGGACAGGCTCAGTTTCCAGAGGCCTGGGACTCTTTCCCCCTGTACTTCCCCTTCCCCGCAGCGTAGACAGGCTGTGCTGACCCCCTGGGACTCAGACTCTTGACCCCTGTGGGGAACACGGAGCACCCTGTCCTGATTCCTGGAACAGGAAATAGTCGGTGGAGAACTCATGGCTGGAAGTCAGCAAGAATAAATAGTGAGCTGGCAGCCATGGGCTGCACGCTCACCACACGGGGGGCTGAGATGAGGACAGAAATGATGATCGTTATAACAACTGCTTTTTATTAGGCCCTTGCCCTGTGTCAAGCGCTTCTCAGGAACTGTTTCATTTAGTCTTCAAAATACCTTCATAAGTTCAGTATTGTATCCTCCCCACTTAACAGATGACGAAACTGAGACTCAGAGACACACTGACTTGCCTAAGGGCACACAGCCAGTCAGTGTGTCCCTTAAACATGGGTTTAAGCTGGGACTTAAACCCATGTCTGTGTGACCCCAAAGCTCATTCCGTGAGCTTCGTTTCCCAGGTTGCCCAGTACAGAGGGTGACCAGAGGAGGGTGAGGCTGCCTCTGCATGGAGGAGTGTTTCAGGGATGACTTTTCTGAGGAAGTGGCTTTTGAGCTGGGTCTTGAGGGATGAATAAGAGTTCAGAGTTCACAGGGGGAGGGGAGAAAGGGTATTCCAGGCAGAGGGACCAGTACAGGCAAAGGCTTGGAGGCCACAGAGCAGGTTCCCGTAGAGGGGCTCCACCAAAATTCTCAGTGTTTGTGCTTTCTCCTGTAGGAGGTCGAGACAGGGCAGGGCGGCCCCTGCTTCTGGTGTCAACCACCAAGGGGCCCTGGGAGGCACCATGGTGCACGGCCTCAGAGGTCACCAAGCTGTTCTCCTACCTGTGCACCATCCCCAGGTAAGGGGCTGGGCTAGCCTGACCACCCCATCCCCCCTCGACCTCTCAGTCCAGAGCCCAGCACCAGGTAGCAGATGGAGAGATCCTTCCAGCCAGTCATCTGTTTCCAGAGCTGGTCCTGAGCCAGATGCTGGGGGGAAAGCAGGACAGACTTGGTCCCTGCCATCAGGGCATTCACAGGCTGGCGGGGGAGGTGGATGGTGTGCAAGAAACAGACATGGACAAGCAGCTCTCAGGGGTGTTAATGTGGTGAAGAAAACAGGGATGTTGTAGATCAGTGGTTCTCAAAGTCAACAGGCATCAGAATCATCCAGAGGTCTGTAAAAACAGATGGCTGGGCCCTACCCCCAGAGTTTCTGATTCACTAAGTCTGGATAAGGACTGAGAACATGTATTTTTAACAAGTTTCCTGATGCTGATGCTGCTGGGCTGAGGACACATTTTGAGAGCCACTGTTGTAGAGTGAGAAGAGGGTGGGGGGGGCAACTAATTTCAATTGAGAAATCAGGGAAGGCTTCTCTGAGGAGGTGATCATTGAGCTGGCATATGAATTATAAATATTTTTGAACAAATGAAGGAATAGGTGAATGGATGAATGAATGAATAAGTGAGAGAGTAAAAGAATGAATGAGTGATGAGTAACCAGGCTGATTTCTAACACCTCGCCTTCCCTCCACCCCCCCCCATTCGGACTTCATGTTTCACTGGCTGGGGAAGAGGCACCATCTTTCCTCTGAGTCCCAGCCCCCAGCCAGAGCGGTCTCAGAGGTGGTGTTTGCTTGGGACTGTGGCTATAGATCCCAACCTAGAGGTTCTGCTGCTGGGGGGGGGGGGGGTGGAGGGACTGATGGAACCCTTTGGAACCTTATCCACCCCATAGGAGCCATCACCACCACCTGCTGGTCACTGAGATTTTTCTTCTTGTCCAAAGTGGAGTGGCTTTTCTGGTCTGAGGAGGAGATGGAAACCCCCATTCTGTGCTAAGTGTCATGGTAGACAGAATGCTGGAATCCCACCAACTTGCTGTGTTACCTGTAGGAGGTAACCTCCCCTCTCTGAGGCTTCCCTGAAAAAGGGGGATGAGTAAGTGGGCTCTGAGGACCAAGCGTGGTCACAAGAGGTGGGGGTGAGGTGCAGCGTGAACTGTGCATGGGGTTCTCGTATGCTGGGCTGGCTTCTCCACTCCATTGCTGGGCACCTGCCCTGGGCCAGACTTCATGCTGGGCCATGCTAGGGACCCAGATACTCCTATATTGGGCCTTGACCTCTAGGGGCATCCAGGCTGGTAGTGGAGGTAGGTGGAGAAATAAACCTCTCTCCCAGCATGGGCACAGCGAGAGGCAGGTGAGGTGTGGAGCACGAAGTCGGAGCCCTGGCCTCACCTCCGAGAGCCTCCTCTCACTGTCTGCTATAGCACCGCCGTGTACCTCAGTTTCCCCCCCAGGATAGGGATGACAGCAGACATTGACATGCCTGTTACTCTGTGCAGTCCCTGAGTACTTTACAGTAATGAATCCATCAGTCCTCAGCACAGCCTCCTGAAGCCCGCACGATTATTATCCTCCCAGACAGGTGAAACAGCGTGCCCGGGTGACTGCCATAGCTCCACCCCCGCACTGGCCACCTCTGGTTTCGTCTGTGAACTGGGTGGTTGTAAGGCTTGAAGGCCGTTGGGGGTTATTTTCCCAACTTGGCTGAATGGTCAGGGCACTTGGAAGCATAGACTCCCTGGCTCCACCCCCAGCCTGCTGGACAGATTTCTTGGGGGGGTGGAGCGGGGGTGGGGGTGAGGAATTGGTATTTTAACAAGTCCTGCAATTGGGCCACTTTGGAAAATCCTAAGGTAATCACTGAAAAGTGCACTGTGAACCCATGAGGGTGTTTTGGCTGCAAGTAACTAATTCCAATTCAAAATGTCTTACCTGCTAAGGAAATGTATCAGTCTATATCTCTGCCTTATGTCTCTTTGTAAGAACTTTTTTACGCAGAGGATATCTTTCCCAAAAGCCCCCAGCAAACATCCCCTCACAGCTCATTGGCCAGAAAATGTCACATGTTCCCTATCTAAACCAATCATTGGCCAGGGGAATTGGGTCTACTGTGGGCCTCAACCAATCAGAAACCAGCCCCTGGCGGAGGGGGGACGTGATTATATGGAGGGAATTGGATTCTTGAACAAAGTGAACCTTCTGCCCACACAAAAGGGGTGGATGAAGGTTAGGTGACTCCTACTGCAACTGGGATAGTAACTTATAGTTCATGATTATTAGGGTGTAAGAGAGAGCTGTGTGAGGTACTGTGGGAGTGCCGAAGAGGGAATAACGGACTCTGCCTGGAGAAGAATCATGGAGGGCTTCCTGGAAGTGGTGTGTGTCAGGGGCACAGGGAGGCACTGGAACTTTGTCCCATGGGATGAAGAGTTCACCAGTAAATCCAGGCTTCTAGCAGCCAGTTTCCCTCACCTTCCACTAGGTCCTTCCCCCTCGAGGGCCCTAGTTCATCCAGCAAGACTGTCAATTCTGTTTACCACCCACAGGCCTGAAGATAAAACCAAGGGGCTGGCGGTCGTGATTGATGCCAGGAAACAGCCCCCACATCCTGGTCTGGTCAGTGCCTTGCAGGCCACCCAGGTGAGTGGGAAGCGGACAGCCTCAGCCTCGCAAGTCTTGTGAGCACCGGGGGCCTTAGGATATTCACAGATCCTGAGAGGCTCAGAGCTGAGACCAGGAACCCAGGTAGGGAGTCTTAGCTGCACATAACAGAAACCCCAGCCCAGCCACGCTTAAAGACAAAGGTCATTCATTGGTTTATCTGACTCGACTGTCCGGGAGTTAAACCCAACTTCAAGTATGGCTTGATTCAGGGGCTCAAATATTGCCACCAAGATCGGGTTTCTATCTCCCTATTTCTGGCCCCATTCTCCTGGGAGAGTGCCCTTCTCAGCCAGGTCCCCCTCTTGGTGGCAGTGTGGTTCCCTGCAGCTCTAACTTCATATGGGCTTTCATTTAAGTCCGGTAGGAAAGAGTGATTCTTTTCCCAGAAGTCTCAGTTTCTTTGTGTCTCCTTAGCCCAGATTCGCTCAGCTGTCCATCCATCAGCCGATCTCTGTGTCAGGGGAATGTGACATACTGATTGGCTTAGGCTTAGCCAATGAACTGAGAATGGGGGAGGGAAGAGATTGCTAACTCACCAGCATGGGCAGCAGCGTAAATGGAAGTTTGGCATATGCTCACCTCATGATCTCCACGCCCAAGTCCTTCTCCCTTTACAGATGGGGAAACTGAGACCCAGAGTGGGTGGGGCACCTGGGAAGTTTGCAGTCCAGCTTGGACCTGCTGTTCTCTTGACTTCCAGTGACTCCCAATAAGTCATTTGACTCACCCTCCAAATACGGATCCAAGCCCTCCATACCGCATAAGGGTCCCAGCCATGGGGAACCCTCACCCCATCCCTGTGGCCCATTTGCCTACGTCTTAGCCGGGAGGCTCAGTGAAAGCCTAGGCGGATCAGCTCTGAAATGATTCTCTCCAACAGACTCTGGTCCCAACCTCCATCCGTGCTGTGCTCTTCCTGGGGGAGCAGGAGGCCGCTCTCCAGCTGGAGGCATCTGACATCCAGGTGAGGGCTGCGGCGGAGGGGAGGTGGGCTGGAGCTGAGCTGGGGTGAAGAATGGCAGAATTCACAAGCTAGGAGAGGCCCTGAAATAATCAAGGGTAGGTCCATTAGATACGAGTCCAGGATGCTACAACTCTACTGCCCAGCCCCCATGGCAAGCATTGCCAAATCAGCCCCAGAATTATTTCTCCCTGGCAACCCTAGCAGCTCCCGGTGGGCACGACCACGTGACTGAGAGCTGCACGCAGCATGAAACCCACTTGAAAGCTTCATCTTGTCAACCCCTCCTCCCTTCTTCTCAGATGGGGAAACTGAGGTCCAAGGCCATACAGCAAGCTAGAGGGGCCGTTTCCACACCTCACCTTGCCCTTCCTGTATCTCTCTCCCTAGTTTCTCTCAGCATCTCCAACTTAGATGCTAAGTTGATTCAGGGCTTCACGGGAAAGAACACTGCAGCTCCCTTTAATCACTGCCATGTACCACGGTCACGAGCGTGGGCACCCTGCCCTCTGCCCTGTTTCAGGAAATTATTTTATTTTATTTATTTATATATATATTTTTTGCGGTACGCGGGCCTCTCACTGTTGTGGCCTCTCCCGTTGCGGAGCACAGGCTCCGGACACGCAGGCTCAGCGGCCATGGCTCATGGGCGCAGCCGCTCCGCGGCACGTGGGATCTTCCCGGACTGGGGCACGAACCCATGTCCGCTGCATCGGCAGGCGGACTCTCAACCACTGCACCACCAGGGAAGCCCCAGGAAATGATTCTAAAGGTCTCCTTCTACCTCCTGGTTAACAAAGAGGCACATTGTAAACTAGAGATGTACTTTTCAAGCTTTTAGGTGCCTATGAATTTCTTGGGGATTGTCCAAGTGCAGGTTCTGATTAAGTAGCTCTGGATGGGAGCCGGGATTCTGCATTCTAACGTGTTCCTAAGTCATGCTGGTGCTGCTGGTCCGTGGACCACACTTTAAATACCAGGCATGAAAAATGGGCTCCAAAACGCCACAGAATTCTCCCCATCCCAAGCTTAGGTATCTGGAGCCATTCATAGCATAAAGCCTCAAGCATCACTGCCTGGGGAGATGCAGTCACCTAGTCCCTGCTCCACGTCTTAGGGGATACTGTTAGGATTTGGTGACCTTTCTCAACAACCCCAAGAAGATAGTACCTTGATGGGTCTCCAGAGAACAGTACAATGATTACAAAGAAGTTACAAGACATGGGCCAGCTTCAGTCTGTTTGTTTGATTGCCTGGACACCTGTGCTGGGAAGGAGCCCAGCTCAGAAGGAAGGAGTTCCGTCATTGATTAATGTCTGCCTCGGGCACAGGCTAGGACAGTGGCAGTACGAATCCTGTTTATTTGCCATTTCTTACCCAGGGTGTGGTTCTCAATTTTGATTTGTCAGAGTTTCCGGAGAAGATTCCTTGCCCAGAAATCATCTCTTAAAGCCAAGGCCAGTCTTACCCATGGGAAGTGGAGTGGTGCTGGGGCGTGGGTCTGGGCAGGACCTTCTCAAGCATCTGTCTCTACACTGAGTCCCCTGGTCCTTCTGACTTGCTTCTTTGTCTGCAGGTAGAGGTGCTGACCTCCCTGAAGGCCCTCAGCCGCCACGTGGACCCCAGCCAGCTGCCCATGGCCCTGGAAGGCCCCTTCCCCTACTGCCACGGTGAATGGGTGCAATTCTTCCAGGTATCTACCATCACAGCCTTCACCCCCCACCCTCACCCCTTCTGTTTCTCCCTTCACCGTCCTGCCCCATGGATCCACTGAACTTATCAGGTTCAAAGACAGTCATTCAACAAGTGTTTACAATGAGGGTGCAGAGTGGAGTGACTAAGAGCTCAAGCTCTGGGGCCAGGAGTCCTGGGTTTCAGTCCCAGCTCTGCTGTGTGACCTTGGATAAGTTACACACCTTCTCAGAGCCCTCTTCCTCAGTGACGAAATGGGGCTGATGTGAGGCTTGAGTTCATGTGTGTAAAGAGCTTAGAAGAGTGTCTGGCACATGCTAAGAGTGATGTTAGTGTTAACTGCAAATACATTTACAGACATCTGCTTTGTGGACACACAAAACTCAGGAAGCTTGGGGTCTGGTGAGGGAGGCAGATGTGTTCCCTTCTGTAAGAGGGAGGAAGTAAGGAAACTTCCAGGGCTGGGCTCCTTTCCTGTGTGACCTCAATCCTTCCTCACCGCAACCCTGCGAGGGGGCACCTCATGCCCAGTTTAACACATGAGGATGCATAGGATGGGCACAACTTCCACAGCCACACACAGGAGCTTATGGGCTTAAACCGCACCAGGACCAGTGCCCATAGTTGCCCGCCCAGGGCTTTCTCTAGACCAGGGCAGCCCGACTGCGGCACTATTCACATTTGGGGTCAGATAATTCTTTTCTGGGGGAGCTGTTTGTGCACTGTCATGTGATTAGCACCATCCTTGGCCCCTACCCACTCTGACAACAGCATCCTCCAAATTATGACAACCAAAAGTGTCTCCAGACATTGCCAAATGTCCCCTGGGGTACGCAACCATCACGCATGGAGAACCACTGGTCTATAGTCTAATGCGGCTGTTTGCTTATTTGCTTTCGGCCTGGTCCTCTTCTTTTTAAGATTGGGTCTATTTTTGAATAGACCCTGTGTTCAAAATTCAAATGGTACAAAAGGGTATATACTGAAAAAAATCTCTTTTCCTATTTGTCCCACAGGCCCCCAGTTCCCCTCTCCAGAGGCCTCCAATTAATCCAGGGGCCTTTGAACTATATTTTTGCTTTAAAACCTTCCCTTTAAATGAAATCTTACCTATAGAGCCAGCATATAAAACTGGTAATGAGGATGAGTATCGGTGCTCTTCTAAGTGCCTGGCACAAATAAACCCATTTAGTCCTCCCGCAAGCCTCTAAGGCAGGAAATGGGGAAATGATCCCATTTTGCAGAAGAGGAAGTAGAGGCACAAAGAGGTTAAGAAACTTGCCCAAGGCCTCAGAGATAGTAAGTGGTGGAGCTGGGCTGAAGTGGGACCCGGAGAGGATGTCCTCTACCCCTGCCCTCTCACCCCCTCCTACCATTCCCTCTCCCACAGTCCTGGGAGTAGGTCAGGCCTGTCTTCTCTTTTTCTCTCTCATTCCCAGCATGAGTGGTTCTCAAACTGTGGTCCCTGGACCAGCAGCATCAGGGCCACCTGGGAACCTGTTAGAAATGCACACTCTCAGGCCCCACCCCAGAGAAACTAAACCAGAAACTCAGGAGGAAGGCTCAGCAGCCTGCTTTATAACTGACTTTCCAGGGGATTCTGATGCAGCTAAAGTTTGAGAACCACCACCCGCGTGTCCTCCTGGTGGGAGGAGGGGAGAGGCACCCTCTCCACTGGCCCAGGCTAACATCCCCACTCTGGCCTCCTTTCCTGCAGAAGCTGGACCCTTTCCTTGCTGACCTCCGCCAGGCCTCCTCGCTGCTAAAGGCTTCCATCAGGGAGTTTGAGAAGGGTGACCCCCCTGGAGGGGTGCAGGTGAGACAAGAGCCTGAGGTGGGGAAACCACACCACATCCCTTATTTCATGGACCAAGGGCTCAGTGAAGGGGCTTTGTTTTCATTCATTCATTCAACCGATATTTACTGGGCAGTCACCATGTGTCACGGCCTGGAGATCCAGCCTGGGGCAAATCGACTTGTCCCTGCCCTCGTGGGGCTCATGGTACAGTGCGAAAGGTCATAATTTAAAAAATAAACAGAAATGGACATGTCATTACAAGTGATGCTGAATGCTGTGAAAGTAAGATTGAGAAAAATGGGGAAGGAGGGTATAGAAGTTGAGCCTTGAAGGATGGGACGGAGCCATGGGACTTGGTCTGTGCTTGGTCTGTTCAGGAAGAGCAAGGAGGCCAGTGTGGAACAGAGTGGGGGAGGGGAGGATAGAACGAGAGGATCTTCTGGATCCACGGGGCTGTATCAGGGAGGAGTTGGGTTGGGATTTGATTCTAAATGGGCAGAGAAGCCGCTGGAGAGTTCTAAGCAGCGGCACTGGGATGATCAGATTGGCACTTTGAGATCCATCTGGTTGTCATTCAGAGAACAGATTGCAGGGGGAGCCAGAGTGCCACAGAGAGATCAGTAAAGAGGCTGGGATGGGCGTCCCAGCAAGAGATGATGGTGCTTGGACCAGTGAGGTTGCCACGGTGATGAGAGGAAGCTCGGCTTGAGGAGGTGTTTTAGAGATAGAAAGGAGAGACTTTCTGTAGAAACTTGAATGCCAAACTAGGGGAGTCAGGCGTGATTGGGGTGTGGGGAGCCCTGGAAGGTTATAGAAGGAAAGTGGGGATTGAGCCGCAGGCTACCTCCCTACCCTGGCAGGAGGCCTCCAGGTGTCTGAGCAAGTCCAAGGAGCTGATGGAGGCTGTGCTGAGGGACCCAGGCCTGTTGGGCCTCCAGCGGGAAGGCGGAGCCACCCTGGCCAGGCTGCGACAGGAAGGCAGCAGGCTGAACTTCAACCCAGACATCAGGTACGGACACCAGGCTTTTCCTTCCCCGCCCCATCCTATTCCCCAGACTAGGACTCGGGGCTGGGGTCACTTCGCTGAGAGGACACATAGGGTGGGCTCTGAAGATGCCCAGGATGGGGTGTTTGCCAGGCCCATATCCTGGACTGAGGCCTGATCACGGGCCCCCAGCCTATACCTTGGCAAGTCCCTTCTCTGAGGCCCCTCCTCAGTCCAGGCATCAGAGGACAGCACCCCCATTTCTGGTCACTGTCATGGACCAGGGATGCTGTCTGACCCAGACACTGGGCTGAGCCCCTTTAAGAGCCCACCTCTTATTCCTCAAAAGACCATGTGAGGCTCACATCCTCCTGTCTGGCTGATAAATACCTGAGGCTAAGCGAAGGGAAGTAACAGCTGGACCAGCTGAGCACTAACCCCTGCACTGCCCTACCCTTCGTGGCAGAGGCCAGAGGAACCTCGTGCTGTGCCAGGGTCACAGAACCACAGAGCAAGAAATACGCATTCCTAGAAAGAACCAATTTTCTTAAATTTAAGAGTGGGGTGGAGGAGAGGTGCAAGTCAGGAATTAAATCAGCCGGTAGTTGTATATATTTTATCTCTGTTAGAATGAACACTACTACAACGTTTGCGTAATCCAAGAACATTTTATTTATTTAACCTCCTCCTCTCAACAGCACTTAGTGTGAACACAGCATTGTTCTGAGGGCTTTAAGGATATTAATGTGGTTAATTCCCACCCACGAAGGGGCTCCGAGTACTACCCTCATTTTACAGTGGAGGAGCCTGAGGTTCAGAGAGAGGTTAAGTGACTTGCCCAGGGCCACACAGCTGGGATGTGGTGGGGCTGAGACTTGAACCCAGGCAGCCTAGCCCAGAATCTTGAACACACCACCCTGACCTCTGCCCACAGAGAGATTCATGCTGATGTGAGCGCTGGGCGGCAGTGGACCCTGGTGCTGGGTGTGGAGTTGTCCTCACTGCCCCTCACACAGCCTGGTGGGGCTGGCACTGCCTTTCCCAGTATGCCCCTGCCTCACTGACTGGGCCCCCAAGCCCCTTTGGTCCAACATAGGCCCCTCCAGACCGTTGGCCACCAGCAGCTCCACCAGGGAGCGCTGTGGTCCCGCGTGAGCCGCTGCGTGTTTCTTAGGCAGCTCCTGCCTGCCCGCCCGTTTCTCCCTCCCTTTGCCAGACAGACTGGCATTTTCCATCCCGTTCACGCACCCTGGGTGCTCACCCTTCCGTGGAAGGGCAGTGACCTGTGGGAAGCTACAGTCAGATAAGGAGGCTTAGGGCAAGGCTCCCTCCAGGAAAACGGGCTCTCCTTCCATCTCCTCTTTTTCCTTTTCCTTCTAAAGGACCCCAAGGGCAGAGGAGGGTGGGGTGGGATTTGAGGGGTGTTGGGAAAGCCCTGAGATTCCTCCTTTCACCCAAGTTTCTCCTGAAATCCCATCTGCATCCCTTCATTTATGTCTTGCTGGCTTTGATCATTTTTTAAAATCATGTGCAGAAAAGGCCGTGGACCGAGTTCCAATTCAGACTGCCATGCGTGTGAGTGAGAACCTCTCTCTGGAGGATCAGTTTTCCTATGTGTAAATGTTTTCCTATCTGTAAAATAGAGGCCAGAGTGGAGAGGTGTGTTACAGCCACTTGTCATCATTGCAATAGAAATAACAAGCGCTTTGTAAATAAGTTCATTTGTACCATTTTTTTAGATTCCACATATAAGCAAATGAACTTATTTACAAAACAGAAATAGAGTCACAGAAGTAGAAAATAAACCTGTGGTTACCAGGAGGAAGGGGGAGGGAGGGATAAATTGAGAGATCGGGCTTGACATATACACACTATTGTATATAAAATAGATAACTAATAAGGACCTACTCTATAGCACAGGGACCTCTACTCAATACTCTGTAATGACCTATATGGGAAAAGAATCTAAAAAAGAGTGGATATACGTATATGTATAACTGATTCACTTTGCTGTTCAGCAGAAACGAATGCAACATTTTAAATCAACTATACTCCAGTAAAAATTAATTAACAAAAATAAAAGAAATAACAAGCGCTAACAGCACCGTGGGCCAGGCACTGTGTTGTTTTGAGTGCGTGAGGGCGGGTTTGCCTGAGGCGCTTCGGGAAGCGCTGAGGTCCAGGCCACTCTCTGAGCAGGACTCCGGTGGGTTGGGGAGGGGCCTGGGCATTGAGATTTTTAAAGCTCCCAGAGCAGGTTCTAATTGTGTTGCCAGGGTTGAGAGCCAAGGGGTTAGATTCTTTAATTCTCACAACCCCCCTGTGAAATGGGTTCTGTTATCCCCATTTTTTATAGCTGAAGAAACGGAGACAGAAAGGTTGAGAAGTTTGTACAAGGTTCTGTTACTAGAAGGTAGCAGGGCTGGGATTTGAACCCAGACCTCTCCAGCTCGGTTCATACCCTCCTGGGGAAAGGCAGGGTCATTTGGTTTCTCGCTGTGTCCTCTGGTCCTCCCAGTCCCACGCAAGGCCAAGGCTGAGGCCCAGAGAGGTGTAGGGACCCGCCCAAGCTCACACAGCAAGTCAGCAGCTGAAATACCCAGGCCAGGGCCACAGAGCTGGTGGGAGCCGCGGAGGCATGCCTATGCTAGGCAGGAGTGCTGGGGCTCCGGGTCAGGGGGTCAGCATCTTGGGTTTTCTCTCACACTCCTCGGCCTCCCAGGAGCCATCTGGCCGAAGCTGCTGCCCTGTACAGCCTCGTGGATGAACAGCTGCATGTCCTCGTCACTGTGTCCAACCACCTCCTGAGGAGGCTGGAGCTCCGCGTCCGCCTGGGCCGCCTGGAAGCTGCCATCCACCAGGTGAGAGAGGAGGAAGCTGGCCCTGGGACGTGACGGGGTGGTGGGCGGCTCCTGCCTCTCCAGGCCCCACCCCAGCCAGGCGCTTTGCTCTCGTAAAACGACAGCAGGCAGGCATTCTTGGAGCACATGACATGCACTCCATAGTGCTTGATAGGTGAAGACATAACTCCAGAAGCTGCATTTTTTAAACACCGACTTTGCGCCAAGCCCTGGGCCAGAGCCTTTGTGTCCATCACCGCTTTCCAACCTCATCCCTTACCAGTGATGTGGGCAAGATGCTAGAATTTCTCCTACTCATCGATAAGGACACTGAGACTGGGAGACATTATGTCATCTGCCCGTGGCCGCACACCTAGGGGTCTGATCCTGGAGCCCACACCTGGCACCACTCTGTCCAACTGTTGATGCCTAGAACCAACGCATCCCTTCATGCTCTGGGCCGTGGAACAGAGTGTGCCTGGAACCAGACGGCCTGGTTCCAATGCTGGCTCTAGCACTTACTAGCGGTGTGACAAGGTATTTATTCAGTGCCTCGGTTTCCTCACCTGTTAAATGGGGGATAATATCAGTGCCTGCCGCATGGGGCTTTGTGAGGATAAAGTGGGTGATGCTCTTTTAAGACACCCCAGAATACGAAGAAGACTTCTGCTTATGGGATCGAGAGCCATTTTACCCCCTCTGTCCTTCCTTGAATCCTCACGTCTACCCCATTTTGCCACTGAATAAACTGAAGCCCAGAAAGGAGAAGTGACTTGCGCAGTTCACACAGGGAGTTCATGGCAGGGCCGTGCACCTTCCTCTGGCACTGTTTGGATGGTGAGAACCATGCCCCACCCCCACCCCAAGCTGTCTCTTTTCCTCCCCAGAATTGGGAGGGTTTCAGTCCAGGCCGGTGGCATAGGCCCAGCCCCCAGATGACTGAGGACAAGACTTCAGCTTCCCAGGAAGGTGGCAAACTGGCCTAAGGATGTCTCCTCAGCAGCCCCTCATGTCCAAACCTCCCTCCCCTGCCCCAGGTCAGCAACTGGATGGAGCAGGAAGGAAGCCAGTGCCTGCAAGTGCTGACCCCCAAGGACGGAAGCTTGGAGACAGTGGAGAAAGCCCACGCAGAGTTTGAGGACTTCTTCCTTCAGGCTGCGGTGTGTTTCTAAAACTGAGGGCGGGGTGGGGCTGGAGCAGATAGAGAGGGCAGGAGATGGGGGTGGCACTGCTGGGGAAAAGTTGCGGAGGCGGGAAAGTGGAAGAAAGCTTCCCAAGACAGTGAGGAGAGCAACTTGGAACACAAAGCATTCAGCTTAGATATTGTCTCCTCCAGGAAGCCTTCCCTGACTACCAAGTACAAAGATGGCCCATCTCAGAATGCCTGGAGGGCTTCTTTTCTTTTTTTTTTTTTTTTTTTTTGCGGTACGTTGCGGAGCACAGGCTCCGGACGCGCAGGCCCAGCAGCCATGGCTCACGGGCCCAGCCGCTCCGTGGCACGTGGGATCCTCCCGGACCGGGGCACGAACCCGCGTCCCCTGCATCGGCACGCGGACTCTCAACCACTGCGCCACCAGGGAAGTCCTGGAGGGCTTCTTAAAATACACATTCCAGGGTCCTACCCTAGCCCTACTGAGTCAGCCTCAGAGCTGGGGTGGGGGGAGAGAATCTGCATCCTTGATGTGCTGGGTCCTGGGGCACAGGGTGATTCAGCCTCTGTTTCAGCCCTCGGGGAACTTCCAGGCCAGTGGAGGGCGGAGACAAGATGGGGGGCTGGGGGCAACAGGGGAATAGCCAGAAAAGGAGAACTGTGGGGACACAGGTGAGGAGCCTGTAACCCAGACTCTGGGGTTGGAGAATTTTGCCAGAAGAGGGTGACGCTAAGCAGAATCCCAGCAGGCAAAGTAAACCCTGGGTTCCCATTTTATAGATGAGGAAACTGAGGCTCGGGAAGTCTCATAACCCGGTAGTAAGGCTGGAGCTGAGTAGACACCCCTCCTCTCCCTGCTCAGGCCCAGTACCGCCGTGGCCTGGAGCTGTGCAAGCAGGCGGCCCAGCTGGGAGCTGCAGCCAGGGCCAGGGAGGCGGGAGGAACAGAGCTCCCGGAGCTGGCAGGCTTCACCTTCACCCAGCGGGCCTTCCAGGCTAAGCTGACCCACTTCTACATGGCAGCCGAGCGGCAACGCACAGACCTGGAGACGCTGCTCCACCTCCACCACTTCTGCAAGAAGGTGAGCCTGGCAGCCCACCTGCATAAACTCCCAGCTCCCCCAACACCTAGGACGTAGGGTGGGGGCAGGGAACAGCCTAGACACAGCACTAGGCTCTTTTCATTCCATAATCCCATGAGGCGGAAAACGCATTACCTGCATTTTCCAGAAGGGAAACAAGGTTTGCAAGGTTAAGTTACCCTCCTTAAACCAGGTCCAGCTAATCCCTGACCCCAGCTTGTCCCACTACACAGGCAGTCTCCCAGTGACCCAGATATCACCTCTCAAAGGAAATCACCTGCTTCTTAAACGTTGGGATTAGGGGAAGGATCCTGGGGATTTCTGAGAATCTGATCAAAGCTATAGACTTTCCCTCCACACATAGACCTCTGCAGGCAACTTCACAGGGTCAGGACCAGGCTCAGAACCTTGATCTCGTCCCACCCCTCTATTACAGTGTTAGGGAAACAGGATCAGAGAAGTACCATCACTTAGCCAAGGTCACACAGCAAGCCATGGCACCATTGTGCTCTTTCCCATGCCCCACCTTGCCCTGCACAGATGCGTTGGAGGAGACAGCTGGGGAAGGAAGGAAGGAAGGGACAGTTGGCTGAGGGCGGGCCCAGAGGCTGCTCTGAGCATCCTCAGAACAGAGGCCTCAGTCCTCACCAGGAACCCAGCGTTTGGCCAGGAGGGAGGAGGAGGGGGTAGGGCTACTGGGGCAAGGGTCGGGGGCCTGGGCAGAGGTGAGTTAGGAAGCAAGAATAACTCCATTACTTTGCATCTGTCATCTCTTGGAACCCAATGTGGCAAGGTTGACCAACTCCATTGTACAGATGAGGAAACTGAGGGCCCAGAGAGGGGCAGCACCTTGCCCAAGGCCACACAGCTAGAGAAAAGAAGAGCTGGAATTTGAACCCAGATGTGTCCATGTGCTATGTTCTTCTGCAAAGGAGAGCGAAATGACAAGCAGTTCTTGTGTCCAAGCAGACGTGATGACGGTGGTGATGAGGGTTAGATGACTATTATGGGGTAGCCCACATTATTGACTGTGTTCACCACGCCAGACCCTCCTAAAAGCACTTTGCATACCTTGCCCGCTTTAATTCTCATCATATCTTTGTGAGGGAGGGGCACCAACATTGTTTCCATTTTACAGATGAGGAAACTAAGGTCCAAAGAGGAAAGTGGCTTTCTCAGCATCCCCTAGCCCGGCTGGTCAAGCAGGATTTGACTTCAGAGCCCCCGCCCCTCTTAAATCCATTTAGCCAAATCCCTTGTCTTTCTGATGGGGAAACTGAGGCCTACGGGGAGCAAGGGAGCAGCCTGAGAGAGCTGTAACCCAGATGAGACAAGAACCCACACCTCTGGCCTGGGCCCAGTGCCCTCAGCTGCCCCTCGCGCTGGCCACTGACGATGGAGCATGGGAAGAGCCTGACCCCAGCCTCCCAGCTGTCAGGCCAGCCCAGCACACAGGGCACCAAGAACGCAGATGCTTTGGGGGCAGCGGGAGGGACTCGATCAACTCACACCTGGGGCACTGGGAGGACAGGCCACTCTGTCTCCCTCAGGCAAGGGAGGTAGATGTGGGCAGAGGCAGCGAAGGGATCCCCCGCGCCCAGCTGTTCAGAAGTTAGAGAGCGAGACAGCAGGAGGATCTGAGACTTAGAGTCAGGGATATGCCTGCATGGGCTCTGTGACCTCAACAGTGGCCTTCACTGCTCTGGGCCTCAGCTCCTTGTCAAGAATAATGATGATAATAATAACAACCAATGCTTAGGTACGGAGTTCTTATTGTCTGCCGGCCCTGTTCTAGTCATTTCACATATGGTATTATGGTCACACCAACCCTGTGAGGCAGGAAGCCCAGAGAAATCAAGTCACTGACCCAGGGTCACACAGCTAGGAAGTGGCGTAGTTGAGATTCGAACCCAGGTCATCTGGCTCTCGTGCAGAGAAGTGAGAATTAAATTAAATGTAAGTAACCCCTCCCCCTGCCCCTACACCCGACTTTGCTCAAATCTGGAATTATTATTTTTAACACCGATGTTAAATTATTGTTTTTAACACCGAGGTACTGCTAATGTTGTCATTAGCAGTAGTGGTAGGAGGAGTAATGCCTCATGGATTAAGGGGTTCTGGAAGCTTCTCTCCCTTGTTTACTAATTTTAGCTGATTTCAGCCCCATCGGCCTTCCCTGGAGAAAGCAAACTGGCTCCAGCACTGAGGCCTTTGCACTGGCTGTTCCCTCAGCCTGGAAAGCTCTTCCCCTCGACAGCACCTTCTCCTCTCTGGCCCAGAATTTTAATCCGCACAGTAAGGGGTGGGGCAAGATGATTTCTGAGGTGTTCTCCACCTCTGTCCAGCTTGGCCTGGAATATCTGGTCCCAGACAGACAGACGGACAGACAGGACGGCTCAGTGCTGGGCTCAGCCCCAGGTGGAGAGCAGGCATGCGGCAGCTTTGGCACTAAATAATAATAACATGATTGTGTCGCTAACGGAGATTTATGGAGCCCTTTCCCAGCCATGAGCTCAATGTGCTTCTGCAAATATGAAGCCATTTATCTAAAGACAAGTTCCCTTAATCCGCGGAAAGATGGTTTCCTCGGAGAAAATTGTTCTCCAATCCCCACTGCCTAACAGCTTGCTGTTGGCTTCTAAATTAATGGAGAGAAAGATTATGTTTTTCACAAGCTGCTGGGAACATGTTGGCTCCTTTGCAACCTGCAGACATTTTGTGGGTGCAGGCAGGATCCTAAAATGCGGCAGAGGCCCGGCCAGAGCGAGGGGACCTCCGGGCCTGGGCTGGCTGACAGTCTCACTGTGTGACTGCAGGGTCAGGGCCCTGCCTGGGCCAGTTTCTCCTGTGCAAGGAGGTGCTTGGAAGATACCCTCTTGAGGGCTGGACAGGGTTGAGTTTGAATCCCAGCTCCTCCCTGACTTGCAGCGTGACCTGGGACAAGTGATTTCATGTGTGTGAGCCTCAGTTTCCTCCTCTGTAAAATGGGCTGCTGGTTCAGTGTGATCCTACATGAGATGCACAGAGCCTGGCAAACAGTCAGCGTTCAATAAATATTAGCCAGACTCCTCCCTCAGCACCACTTATGAGGGGTTCATACAATCCGAGAATCACTCAAATTTCCATGATTATCTATCACAACCTCTACTTTACTGAGGGGGAAACTGAGCCCCAGAGAGGGGTGAGTCCTTGCTGGCCCCTAAGTCTGTAAGACTGTGCCTGAAGATCCCAAGGGTGCTGGGGACTGTTTCCCGGTGGGTAACGGAGGGTGGTGTTCCCTGGGGAAGAAAGGGAAATATTGTCATCATCAGCGGTGGAGAAAATCACAGCTGTGCTAAGAGAGGCCCTAACACTGATTGGACATTTTTGTATTAATTCAGTCTAGCTGTATTTGTTCTTTAAGCCTCCTTTTGGCTCAGAGAGGCCTATCCCTGTCCTCACGGAACCCCCATCTCCCTCTCTTCTTGTCTCCCAGATGACCTGGTTCCACATGGACTGCCAGGACCTGATGGCCCAGCTCAGGCTGGGCAAGGCCCAAAGGGCCAGCCCTGGGGACCAGCGCCGCCTCCACCGCTACCTGCAGCGCCTGGCGTCCGAGTTCCCTGCCGAGAAGCTCACGGCCATGCGGCTGCAGGTGGCCTCTCTGAGCTGGGAGGGCCTGGGCCAGGACCTGTGGGAGGAGGCCCGGGAGAGGCACGAGGAGATCCAGACCCTCCTGAAGAAGGCACTGGCCCACTGTCCATGCCTGGCAGGTCCCCCTTCCCACCCGGCGGGCCGGGAACTCAGAGGGGCGGCCGCCAAGGGCCAGGACCTGAATGGAGAAATCACTTACAAGGGAAGATGGGACCTGCCCCTCCAGGACTCACTGGGTCTGGATCGTTCGCCAAAATCCTGTTGGCCTCCTTGGGCCCCCAGACGTGTACAGAACAGAAGTTTCCAAGCAGCCCCTCCACCCCAGGAAGCTGGCCAGGCTTTTGAAGCTGATGACGGCAGAAGCCCGCATGGGCCCCTGGATCCTGCCCCTGAGCGTTATCTCACCACCTTCCTTTCCTGGCAGCGGCTCCCCAGGCAGAGTCAGATCCCCCGGCCCACTGGGAGCAGCTTCTCCTCGGAGGGGACAGACTCACAGACGTCTCTGGAGGACTCACCCCACACAAGTCCCCCTGCATCCCTCTAGCTGGGAGTTCCCGTCAATCACACTGGGCTCCGGCAGGGATGGGTATGGTTCGGGTGGGGCCCAGCTAAAGACAGAGCTGGGGAGCCCTGGACCATCCGTCAGGACGTGGCTACTGAGTTTGGCCCGTGCTCGGTAGACAAGAACTCGCACCTGCTCCCGGCCCCAGGAAGCTCTGGGAAGACGCGACTCTCACACATTCAGAATAGTGAGAGTGGAGGGCAGGACAGGACGCGGAAGAGCGTGAAATTGGCTCCAAAACCCTGGAGTCTCATCGTGGAAAGAGCTGTTGGTACAGATCCTTCCAGAGACCTCCGACTTAGGCAGAACCCCACCTGGGGTTCAGGGGTATGTAAGCTTCCCCTTGGGGCACAAGGGGCAAAGCTGCCCTCATAATAGAACCCAGGGTGGGGAGATTAGGGGAGTGGCTTCTTGTCTTAGGGTCCCGCGAAACAGACCACACAAGGATTCAAGTGCGCATTTACTTGGCGGAGGAGCAGGGGAGCGAGTCTGGGAAGGGAATAAAGGGGGTGCTGTCAAGTGAATTACCACATGTAATTTATCCACTGACGCCACTGGCCTCGGGCAAAGAGAATCACCTGCTGGAGGCCAGTTAGTGCGCAAGGAAGGGGTAAGGGAGGGGGACTGTCTGCTGCACCTCTACTCTGTCACTTGGCTTCTCCAACAGACATGAGCATCAGTCTCAAGTTCAAGGAACCCCAAAGAGGACCACCTCCCTCTCCCATGATCTCTGCCTTCTTCCCCTCCCCACCACAGCTCCTCAGACCCACCCCGAAGCCCGACCTCTCTCTAGGCACAGCCTCTGGTGCCTGGCGTCATCAGATTCTGCTATGGTTGGGGCTGGAGGGTAGGGAGCCTTGTCCCCATCCAGCAGGTGGTGCGGGAGGACAGTGGGAAGAGGCTTGAGATGCTCTGATTTCAGATAGAGCATCTAGAAGACAGCCCAGAGTGACCATGGCTAGCGCCTCCCCTGAATGTCATTATCCTGAGAATGTGTGCCCATCTCTGCCCTAGGATGCATCACCAAGATGGCCTCTGGTAGCCCAGCTCTGGAATTTTCCTGGCTCCAGGAAGAGGGTAGGGTGTACATCCTCCCACAAGATGAGGCTGTGGAAGGAGAGGGAGGCAGGATCGGAGCGGGCCTGGGAGGACAAACAGGGTTTCTCAAGGGTAATCTCGGGCTTCCCTGGTGGCGCAGTGGTTAAGCATCCACCTGCCAGTGCAGGGGACACGGGTTCAAGCCCTGGTCCGGGAAGATCCCACGTGCCGTGGAGCAACTAAGCCTGTGCGCCACAACTACTGAGCCTGCGCTCTAGAGCCCGCGAGCCACAACCACTGAGCCCACGCGCCACAACTACTGAAGCCCGCGCACCTAGAGCCCGTGCTCCGCCACAAGAGAGGCCACCTCAATGAGAAGCCCGCGCACTGCAACAAAGAGTAGCAGCCCCTGTTCGCTGCAACTAGAGAAAGCCCGCGCGCAGCAACGAAGACCCAACGCAGCCAAAAATAAATAAAATAAGTAAATTTTAAAAACATTATTTAAAAAAAGAGTAATCTCAGCAGAGAGATCCACACAAACCTCAATGCCCAAAATCTTCCTGGACTCAAGATTTCATCAAGAGTGGTCTGGGGCCTGTCTGCCTCAGAACCACGAGCAGAGCTGATCAAAGGCAGCGTCTTAGGGGATCTCACCCCAGATAGTTAAAACCAGACCCTTGCGGCAGTGGTGGCTGGAGTCTGCATGTGTAACCAAGTGCTCATGCAACACAGTGAGGTGGGGTGCTGTTGGGAAACCCTTGGGGCTAAGGCCTGAGCCGCCCCCAACCCCCACCCCAAGCCAGCTCTGATTCTTGCATTCCAGTCTCATGCCTTCTGTCCAGACAGGCCTGAGGATGCAGGAGGCATTTGATCAGTCCAGCTCCATCCAGGCCTGTTGCCTCAGAGGGGGGCCGAAAGCTCTTAAAATGCTGTTGCCATAGCAACAGCATCCAGCCAGTAGGGACCACAGGCAGGGAGCCAGGGTACCCGGGGTGCAAGGATGAAAACTGACTTCTGAGAGACTACAGTTACGGCTAGTGCTCAGGGGGGCTGAGGAGGGGTATGGATAATCCAAGAATCCTTGGGAGGGAGGGGCCCCCAAAGCCATCTTGTACATCTTTCTTGTCTCCAGGAAGAGCCGAAAGCCCACAATTTGTCTACTCACAGCAGCCCAAAGGGGAGAAGGGGATGCAGAAATGAAATATAATAATGAATAATAATATTACTAGCCAACATTTATTCTGCATTTTCTTTGTGCCTGACTTGGTGCTAAGCCCTTTAAAAGCTTTGCGGGGCTTGTTGAAATGTTCACAACAATCCAATGAAGCCAATACTAGTTTCACCCCATTTTACTGAGGAGGAAACTGCTTTTCAAGCTCCAGGGGTTGGTGGGCAAGAGGTGATAGGAGGAGCATGGCCTGGGAGTCAGGGACCTCACCTGACACTTCCGCCCTGGTGCCAGCTGCCTGTGTGACCCTGGGCAGGTTGCTTCCCCTTTCTGGCCCTTGGTTTACCCTATCTGTACAATCAGGTCATTGAATGGATAAGGATCTTTCTTGTCTTTGTAATCAGAGAGCCCAGCCTTTGAATCCAGGCTTAATAGCCTGGTGACTCTGAGCAGATGGCCGCCTCTCAGTTTTCCCATCTGTCCAATGGGTTTTGTCAAGCCTGCTGGGCCAGGATAATAAGATCCTGGGATCTCTGAGCTCCACACCAGGCCTCTTCCTCTCCAGAGGGGTGGCCATCTTGTAAAGTCTGAGAAACCCACTGGGGCAGTGGTACAACTGAACCCAAATTGTAGTTTAGGCACTTTACAGTTTACGGTGTATTTTTTTGTCCATCCATTTCTTCATCCAATATTCCCTACAACCCTGAGGGCACAAAAGTTACACTGTAGGATGTCTCCATTTTACAGATGAGAAGACTGAGGAGAGGGGAGGTGACTGGCCCAAGGTCACACAGCAAGGAAAGGAAGGACTAGAGAAGGGGAAACCTCAGAATCTGGACCTAGTTCTTGTCCATGCCTAATCCAGGAGAGCAAATGTCAGCCACTCTGAGGTGAGCACCCCACACCCTCATGCCTTCAAGTTACCCACATCAGACCCTGACAGGGTAGCAGGCAGCACAGGCTGCCCTCCTGAAACAGAGATGTCCTGTTCTCTGCGAGCTGTGAACTGGCTTCCAGCCCAGGACAAACCCATCAGGCCCTAAACCCCACCCACTCCCAGCTGCAAAATAGCTGTCTGAGGCCAGAGCCAGTGGGCCTCCTGGAGAATAAATAAGCCCTCTGGCTGGGCAGCAGGATCCTTGGATCCCATCTCCTTCAGTCTGGGGCATGACAGGGACCTGGGTGAATCACCGCACTTCCTCAGGCCTCATTTTCTCCATCTGTGAAGTGGGGGGATTGGGCAAGACCAGGGATGGCAAACAGGTGTCGCCTGGCCAGTGGAACTCCTGATCTGCCCTCCGAAGCCTGCCTCCCTCTCTGTGTACTGACCATGCCTCCAGGCACCCAGGCTGAAAACCTGCAAGATGTCCTTGAACTTCCCCAGAGGCCCCAGATCCACTCCCCTCATCTCTCTCTAATCTTCTTCTTCTTTCTCCCTCCACCTTCCCATCCTCATCCCAGTCTCCATCCTCTCTCCCCCTGGACAGTTGTAACAGTATCCTCAGTGGTCCTCCTGCAGCCACTTGGGCCCTTTTATCCATCCTCCACAGAGAGGCTAGAGGGACCTTTGCAAAATGTAAAATAATGCCAGTCCCTGCTTAACAGAGCCCAGTGGCATCCCATGACTCTCCAGATAACCCCATCCTGCCCATCGCTGGAATCTACAAAGCTCTGTGGGGTCAGGCCTCTGCCCACCACTCTAGCCTCACCTTACTCCCCAGTCTCCATGTTCTCTGAGTTCCAACAACACTGACTTCCTTTTAGTTCTTCGGCCATTCCAAGCACTTTCAAGTTCCCCTAGAAGCACGCCTGGCCACAAGGATTCACGTACAGGTGATTTGCCGAAGAAGAGATCATGAGAGAAACCACAGGAAGGGGAAACAGGACAGAGAAGGGAAGGAAACCAATGTACAATTTCAGATCAAGGCTCAGCCTCTGCCTGATCACGTGGGGAATGCTGGAGGGTATTTTTACACCTCCTGAGGCACTGCAGGCCTCTGCAAAAGCCTGCCACAAAAAGCGGGGTCCAGGAACCCTAGGGCAGTGCTTGCTTGGAGGAGGGTTGCTGGGGTGGGCCCACAGAAGATAATATTCTAGATTACAAATATATAGAATGCTCTCACCACTAAATTATAAATTTTTAAAACTCCAACTTAGAAATAGGTAAAGGATCTGAATGAGCATTTCTCCAAATAAGATGCACAAAATTCTAATAAGGACATGAAAAAATGCTCAACCTCATTAGCCATCAAGGAAATACGAATCAAAACCACAATGAGATCTCACTACACATTTACTAGGATGGCTAAAATTTAAAAGTCCAATAATAAACGTTGGCAGGATGTGGAGAAATTGGAACCCTCATGCATTGCTGGGGGAATGTAAAATAACGCAGCTGCTTTGGGAAACAGTTGGGCAGGCCTTCAAATGGTTAAACATCCAGTTACGATATGACCCAGCAATTCCACTCCTAGATATACACCCCAAAGAAACAAAACCATATGTCCACACAAGAATTTCTACATAAATGCTTATAGCAGAATTATTCATCATAGTTAAAAGAAAGAAGCAACCCAAATATTGGGCAACCAATGAATGAATAAACAAAATGTAGTATATCCATACAGAAGGATGTGCTTCAGCCATAAAAAGGAATGAAGTCACTTCCTAACTTATTCTCTGAAGCAAGCATTATCTTGATACCAAAGCCAGATAAATATATCACAAGAAAAGAAAACTACAGGACAATATACCTTGTGAGTATAGATGTAAAAATCCTCAACAAGATACTAGCAAACCAAAGACAATAGCACATTAAAAGAATTATGCAGTGTGACCAAGTGGGATTTATCCCAGGTATGCAAGGGTAAAGATAAGAAAATCAATCAATGTAATATACCACATTAATAGCATGAAGGGAGAAAAACACGATCATCTCAGTTGTCTCAGAAAAGACATTTGACAAAATCCAACAACTTTCATGATTAAAAACAAAACAAACAAACAACAAAAAAAAACAAGAACAACAAGAAAAAAATACTACTCTGAAAACAAGGAATAAAAGGGAACTTATTCAACATGATAAATGGCATTCATGAAAAACCCACAACTAAGATCAAACTCAATGGTGAAATACTGAAAGCTTTCTCCCTAAGGTCAGGAGCAAAACAGGATGACTATTTTCACCACTGCTATTCAGCATTGTACTGGAAGTTCTAGACAAGAAAATTAGATAAGAAAAACAAATAAAAGGAATCCAATTAGACAAGAAAAAGAGCAGTTACCCTGCAAAAGAAAGAAAAGGCATCCAAACTGGAAAGGAAGGAATAAAGTTGTTTCTATTCACAGATGGCACGATTCTGTGTATAGAAAATAAGAAGTAATCCCCAAGAAAGATACTAGAGCTAATAAACAAATTCAGCAAAGTTGTGGGTTACAAGATCAACACACAAAAATCTGTGTTTTTACACACCAGCAATGAACAATCTGAAAAGGAAATTAAGAAAGCAATTTCATTTCCAAAAGCATCTGAAAGAATAAAATACTTAGTAATAAATTTAACCAAGGAGGTGAAAGACATTGTATTCATAGGTTGGAAGACTTAACATTGTTAAAATGTCAATACTATCCAAAGGGATCCTCAGATTCAACATAATCCCTGTCAAAATTCCAACAGCCTTTTTTTGGGGCAGAAATAGAAAAGCCAATCCTCAAATTCTTATAGAATTTCAAGAGGCCCCCCAAGTAGCCAAAACAACTTGAAAAAGAAAAACAAACTTGGAGGATTCTCAGTTTCCAATTTCAAAACTTACTACAAACCTACAGTAATCAAAAGAGTGTGGTACTGCCATGAGAATGGACATCTAGACACATGGAATCAAAATAAACCCATAGGTCTACAGTCAATTGATTTTCAACAAGGCTGCCAAGTCCATTCAATGGGGAAAGAGTAAGTTCTTAAACAAATGGTGCTGGAACAACTGGAT